CCAAGTTCTTTTTTGTTCCACTTTTTTTGGCATGTTTTCTGTAAAATTGGTTAACTCGGAGATAGGTTTTTGATTCTCAGTTCCTTCTGTCATTTCTTTATCTCTTTTGACGTTCTCATGTTTTCTTGTTTTTAGGGCAATGACTTCAATCAAAGTTTTTGAACTTAGAGGTCGTCTTAATTTAAAGGTGGCGGGACTAAATCCTCCAAAACCAGTGACGTCATTTGCACATTTCGGTTTTGATGAGGCACTCCTGAATGTAATTCGAAAGTCTGAGTATGAGCATCCGACCGCTATTCAAGCACAAGTAATTCCTAAAGCGTTAAGCAGTGATTTTTAAAGGTTTTTCCAAATATTTTTGTGTTCTCATTATGGCGTGATTTAAATTTTCTAAATTAAGGCTGTTCCCGCTGCTTTGAGTGGCAGAAATGTATTAGGAATAGCAAAGACTGGGAGTGGTAAGACAGTTGCGTATCTATGGCCCGCAATAGTTCATATTATGGATCAACGAGAGTTGGCTGAAGGGGATGGTCCTATTGTACTAATAGTCGTTCCTACTCGGGAACTTGCAATCCAGGTTTTTTATATTTACGAGTAACATCTTATGTCTTTTCCGCTGACTGAGGCATATTTTGTTTATTTAAGCCTTGTATTTTCGTTCTGGCTAAGCTCAGAGCTTTTCCTTTTATTCTAATGTTACAGGTTTACCAAGAAGCTAGACGGTTTTGTAAAGTCTATAATATAGCGACTGTTTGTGCTTATGGTGGAGGGAGTAAGTGGGAACAGCAGAATGCTTTGAAAGAAGGTGCTGAACTTGTCGTTTGCACACCTGTAAGTTATGCCTCTTGTTGTGAATTTTGTCTATGCCATTTTTAATTGAATTAATATACTGTACTTGGTGGTCTTATCTTTAGGGTCGTATAATTGATTTGGTCAAAATTGGAGCGACCAATTTTACACGGGTTACGTTTCTTGTTTTCGATGAAGCTGATCGCATGTTTGATATGGGCTTTGGTCAGTTTTTTAGTTTTCAGATATTTGCTGCAGTATGCATTTTTGTGTTTCAGTTGGCTTTCTTGTAACTTGTAAATGATTCAGAAGCTCAAGTACGGTCGATATCTGACCATATTCGTCCAGACAGGCAATGCCTTATGTTCAGTGCAACTTTCAAGAATAAAGTGGAACGTTTGGCTAGAGAAGCACTTAGTGATCCGATACGTATCGTACAGGGTGAAGTTGGGGAAGTTCGTATTTTTCCTTTCAATTGAGTTTTTTATTTGGGAATTGGATCGGTTCCCTTTCGGTGATTTAAGTGGGTTTTTTGTTTCAGGCCAATGCAGACATTATTCAATCTGTTGAAGTTCTTCCCAACTGGGAGGCGAAGTGGCGGTGGTTGCTTCAGCGACTTGTCCAGTTTACATCACGTAATGTTCATTAAATTTTCATTTTTTTTTATCATTATTTTTTTGATTGTTTAGTGGCTTTAATTTTACAGAAGGCAAGGTGCTGGTTTTTGTAACTAAAAAGCAAAACGCGGAAGACGTTGCTCAGAGGTTACGCACAAAAGACTTTTCGCTGGTTTTGCTTCACGGTGATATGTTGCAAGCTGAGAGAAATGAGAAGTTACACGCTTTTAGAAAAGAAGTGCCGCTGATGGTTGCTACTGACGTTGCAGGTAGGGATATAACCTTTTTGCATCTTTAACTGTTGTTTTGCTTTTTAATAAGAATGTTTACTATTTCCTTGTAAACAGTATTTTTTTCCTTCTTGTACATCGTGCTTAGGGACTTTTTTTCTGCATCATTGACGCTACAGGTTTCTTTAGCACGTGGTCTGGACATCCCCGAAATAAGAACAGTAATTAATTTTGACATTGCGAGAGATATTGAGACTCATATTCATCGTATTGGTAGGACGGGTAGAGCAGGTAGTACATAAACTATATAATTCTAGTGCATTTATTGCTGATAGTTGCTTTAATTATTACTTATTTTTCATATATGGAATTATAAACTACAGTCATTCAGGTGAGAAAGGCTATGCGTACACTTTGGTAACCGACGCCGACAAAGAGATGGCAGGTCATTTAGTACGTAATTTAGAGAGTGTGAATCAGGTGGTTCCTAATGCGTTATTGCAATTGGCTCTCAAATCAGCATGGTTCAAAGCATCGCGTTTGAAGGAACAAGTGCATGGGGGTGGGAATCAGCATCAGAGAACTGGTTTGGGGTACAAACCAAGAAGTCGTCCCGGAATAGGTGCTCTAAAATTTAGCTGTTACATAATACAAATTGCCACTTTCAAACTTCATAATTTTCCCCTATTGATTGGCTTCGCTACGCAATTCCTTACAGGTAGTTCAGCAACGTCTAGTGATACATCACGCGCATTGTCTTTTACAACAATTGGTGGTAATAAACAAAAATCTTCTAATGCACTCGATTTGGCAAAAAGTAGTGATGGGTCGACAAATCGGCTCCAAGCCATGAAAGCCGCTTTTAAGGCTTGTATTTATCTTCGTTTTGTTTCTTTTACTTAGTTTTGTTTTTATCTCTGTTTTTTTGCAGGTGAAATGGTGCTTGATTCTTGCTTAATGTTTAATAGCTTGAAGTTTTCTTTTGCAGAGTTCTTTTGCTAAAACTTTTCATGCTTCGTCCAGCAACGAATGGGCTGAAAGTCGGGCGGCTGCTACTGACCCTCGTCCGGAGTGGAAACGAAAGCTAGACGAAGCAGCTGCTGCAGTCAACCGTCAGATTGCAGAAGACAGCGGTAGCGCTACAAGTGAACAGACAAGAAGTAATTTCCTGTATTCATTTAATAAGCTTTTTTTTCATACATTTTGAGCGATTGCATTACTTCCTGCAAAACTTTTAGAAAACTTTTGGATTTTTGTTTAGTTCATTCTTCCACAATCTTCTAAATTAAATTTTTAGTAAGTACAGTTTTTTAACTTTTTAAACACTGCTTTCTTAGGTGCTGCTTTGTCATCGCTAGATAGTCCTACGTTTGGGAGCAAGAAACGGTCCAGGTGGCAATGAGTTTTTGTGCGGTGTTCTGTGTTTGTTATTGATTGTGTAAATAACAGTATCCAATTTTGCTTTTATTTTGTGACTTTAATTTTTTGTTTTCTTTTGAAATATTTTTCTTGAATGAAATTTTACGGAGTCTTTTGAACGTGCATTGCAACTTGATTTCTCGCGGGAGCTTCTCTCAGTGAAATAAAAAGATTTCTTATTGACAAATTAACAATTTGTACAAATAGGCATTTTTGAGTACGAATGGATTCACTCAAGTATTTAAATAATTTAGTGGCAAGTCAATATTTTTCTTAGAAAGTAATGACTAGATTATTTACGGTCGCAGCTACTGGTTGTTTGCTGGTTTCTAAGTATCATTGGCTAAATTGTATTTTGAGGTTTTAGAGGATGAGGTAAGGAATTGGTTGAACTGCGTCTGTTAATCAGGTAACATCACTTTGAATTAATTTTGAAATTTATTATTTTATTCTGCAACCTATGCCTTCTTTGCTGTGAGAAGGTTTAGGGTCAAAATTTGCAAGTAACAGTATACTATAGATTCACTAGTGCTAATCAGTAAATTACTGGTATTTTTAATCTATGTAGCTTACTGCTTGTTTTATCGATGTAAGCCTCTTGTGAACGTACCTTTGGGTGTATTAATGGCATGGGTGGGCTCTATTTTGCATTGGTGGCGTCATTGTCGTAAATGATCGTTCTAAGTAAAATACATTTCTAAAAATTGTTGGGGGTTACACCGTTGATTTATTTATTGTATTTCAAAAGATGAGATTATGATATGCGGCACAATTTACATACATTGAAGTGAGGTGGAATTGCAGACATGATGACAGAAGGGATGTTTATGGATGTTTACTTTATAAGTTTTTTACTATCTATAACCTTGGGCGCCCGGTTATCTCTAACCAGGATTAAAAGGTTGCTTTGGCGTCTAAAAATTAGAGGATTTTGTCATTATTGTAGTTCTGATAAGGTTCTGGGGTTGCTATTTCGGGCAGTATCTGTTTGAACATGCGATAGTTGAACTGCGCGCAAACATAAAGTCGATTACGTTTTTACTAACGATTATCCGATGTTACGCAGAATGATGTTCGCCTAACTAAAAGGACTATGTAGTCATTAATTAGGCACTCGTCATATGTCTCTGCATCGAGAACTGCTAGGGCAGTTTATTCAGCTGCAAACCTTTCTTGTTCTGTGCTTGAACTTGCTTGTTCATGTGTTATTTCGTTTACTAGGTTTACCCAAATTGTTGCATAGAAGAGTCTCCTTAAAGTTTACCAAGAAGAAAATGTTCCTGTTTTCTGAAAAGGCTAATCTGTCGTGGAAAGTCGGAAAAGAACAGAAAAGAATCTTTCGGTTCTAACTTTATGTGTTGTATTTAAAATAATGACGATAAACAGTCAGGAAAGATTAGGTATTTGATGCTATAAATTAACGTAGGTGCCAAAAACAGTATTTATTCTGCATAGAGAAATTAATTTGTCAGAAGAAAGTTTGGGGAGAAAAATTTAACATACGTTATCAGGCTATATCAGTGACCGTTTTAGCCTTCGTGTAAAAGGTTATGGAATTCATTTGGCTACAGCTTCTATTGTTTTTCGATTCGTAAAAGCGAGGTACTTCATTGTTTTAAAGTCGAACTACTAAACCAGTTCAAAGACGGTGGCTCAATCTTTAAGTTTTATATGGAATGGAACCTAAAAACAAGTCTTCTTCTAAAATCCAGTTTGATTTTCCAAAATTTCCAAACTTTTTTATCATTCTTTATACTATTACACTCTGTTTAGAATAATTTTTTGCTGTACTTGAACTGAGGTCATTTCTTGTTTAAAATGATATGCTCTACTAATTAAATTGAGGTCAATTTTTGAAAGGCGTTAAAATAATAAAGAGTTTTTGCTTGCAAGATGTTATGTGTGTTTGCTGGTTTCTCATCTTTTGGTTTCATTAAAATTTACACTAATTTTTTTTTCTTTACTTAAAAGGTGAAAAAAATATATTCTGTAATTAAGCTTTATTTAGGAAAAATTCTATAAAAGTTATGGTGGCTAAGAACATTTGTGTGAAATGTTGTGCGTTTTATGGGTCAGATACAATATCCGCTCGTACCTTTTGGTAATTTGGTCATCTTTTGGAACTGGTGAAACAGTGATATGAAACTACAAGTTGTAAAGCATAGATACCGATTGAAATGAGCGGAAGAGGATAATATGCAGTGAGTAACTTCTATCACCGAAGGCTTCAGTTGTTTAGATTGAGAAGCTGATGCAAAATTACATTCGGTTCAGTCAATTGGTATGGGAAAGTAGAAATGGAATAGAATTGGGAAAATGTTGACAAAATTTGTGCAGTACTGACTGGCGTTATTCAATAAACTTACGGTAACAAACCCGTTGCCTGACTTTGACTTTGTCAAGAATCTTCTAATTTATTTCTAGTTGGAGAGTCATATATACATTTATGTATGGGGCCTATGAAAATTTGTATATCTTTGATTTTCTGCTTAGAAAGTCCAAGCTGCATTTTATAAAAAAAAATTTTTTTGAAGGATTATGAGAATCAGTGCGAAATTTCTTGTTTAAAAAAGCGGTTTTGATATTCTGACAAAACAAAATTACAAGATTTTAAAAGTCAACCGGCTGCCATAAGCATTCGTTTAATGCTCTGAACAAGACAAAATTTTATTTGCAGATAAATAATTTCAGATTTCCAGAAAGCAA